TCACCAGCCTCGTTGCCCTTCTCTGGACACGCTCTAACACTTCAACATCCTTCTTGTAGTGAGGGGCCCAAAACTGAACACAGTATTTGAGGTGTGGCCTCACCAGTGCCGAATACAGGGGCACGATTACTTCCCTACTCCTGCTGGCCACACTATTTCTGATACAGGCCAGGATGCCATTGGCCTTCTTGGCCGCCTGGGCACACTGCCGGCTCATATTCAGCCGGCTGTCAACCAACACCCCCAGGTCCTTTTCCGCCAGGCAGCTTTCCAGCCACTCTTCCCCAAGCCTCTAGCATTGCAGATATTAAATAGATTGATCCCAGTACGGACCCCTGAGGGACACCACTCATTCTGGTTCTGCATTGGTTGGATAGTTTTCACAGAGCCTGTAGGGTAAACACAAGAAAAAATAAACATCAGGCACAAAAAGATTGGCAGAAGTTGGTAGGTCAAAGATAGTTTAGTCTAAGCTATAAATCCACACCTTTGGGTTAGCCTGAGGCCCTCAACAAAGATTTTGAAAGCAGCTACATAATTGCTATAATTTATAAATTAACTTTGTTTCTTGGAACAAGAATTACATTTTGTCTGAAGTATCACAGCAGTGATATTACTTTCAAAAAGCAATGCCTATAAGTTTAAGCATAACATACTTAGGTTCAGGCACCAGACTGCCTTTATTTCGTGAATAACTTGTAAAGAAAAGCAGCACACCTTAAAATGAGGTGAAACTGAACTCTTTCATTCCTACTTCCATAATATCAATCTGCAACTAAACAAAAAGTGCATTAGGTATGATGAGCGTGTTAAAATGCAGATTTAACATAGACTGGCACTTTTTTGTACATAGCTGACACAACAGTCTACTATGTTATACAGGAGCCCAAGTAAAGTTGCATCTATTTTTGGATTCAAACAAGTTTTTAAAGATACAGGAATGAGAACAGCTTGTTTGATTTTCTGTAAAGTCAGGGTTTACTCTGTAGGAAATCAGGCCATTTTTGCACCTATGCAGTCAGATACTTAAGGCAGCATACCAACACTTGAAAATTATTTATTCTCTCTCAGATCATCACTGAATGTACTTCATGTCTTTTAAGAAATTCTGTTGCATTTTGGAACTTGTGGACAGTTGTTTATTGCAAATATAATAAAGCGATCTTATTGCTAACATATTTTCTGAAATCCATCTTTTGGTGTTTGTGTGCATACGTGTGTTTTTAAACATGGTAGCATATAGGCAGTGCCTCCCAAAGCAGGTAATTGTACGATCTGTTCTGTGGCTGCAGTAGCTCAAACTGTTAGTGGTAATTGAAGAGGCACGGAGAATGGTTAATGCTTTGGATCCCACTGAGGCTTGTTTACTATTCAAACTGTATTTCCTGCCTTTCTTGTTATAGGAAAACCCAGACTTCCTTTGAAATCAAAGTCTATATGTACAAGTTGACAATCAAAAGGTATTTAAATAGCTCATATACACTTACTGAATCATAAATAACTTGAAGGCAACCCCAAATTCAAAGCTGCATTGAACTAGTTCATAATGCAAAGTTAAATTTCCTCTTTATTTCAATACAAAAATTGAATTTAGGTTTTGAATTTGCAGTTACATATTTAATAATCAGTTAACTACAGAATCACTATTCAGTTGCAGAACATTTAGATAAATTCAGTCAGAGCTTTTGCACTGAAGTAATAAAACTTCACAATTGTGCTTCGCCACATACTCATTTGTAGCCATGAGTATCAGTTTTGGCCCCTTGGATCTAGCCAGTCTACTCAGTCAGAGGGTTACAAATCTGTGACTTACCAGAAACCCTGGAAAGCTGGCTACATCAACCTTGGAAAACCATGGAGAAAAAAATGTATTTTGTTCTTTTAGGAAAATATTTTATATGGACACAGGGTTTGGGATAAGGAACAGAAAGGATACCTTTACCCACCAAACTACCAAGGCTTCACTCTTCCTATTCTGTCTTTATAGTTCAGTTTGTAGACATCATTACTCTCTATTACTTGGATGTTCAGTAATTATATTTCTGAGACTAACTTACCAACTGTTACTGGCTAGAAACCTACTTTGCTTTTCACTTTTCACTTAAAATTCTCAGCTCTGGATCTCCATTTCTCAACTTTTCCCAACACTCACCTGTATTTTACCAACAGAAATCTTAGTCCGTACAGAGGTTCTTGGACCTTGATCTTAATCAAAGATCTAGAGTTTGCCAGGATACATTTTGGTATCAAACCATTCTCCAGACAGATATGCTATTGCTCACGAACGTCATGTAAAAGCTATCTCTTTGCTTTGTAAACAGATACTGTTTTCACACACAGATAACACTTTGATGATCAGCACAGCAGTTATATCTGTAGGGAGCGTGTGTTACTAATGCTGATGCAAGAATTAAGGCTACTCATTTGACTGAGATTATGTTAATGGAGACATGACTGTAGATAAATCCCATGTATCCTGCTCAGCTGAATCATACTGAGAGAAAAAGGAGTGACAGCATGAGCATCATATTCACTTTGTGCAGAAACAGCTTTAGGGGAAAAACAGCAAACCGTAAATATGTTCTTATACAATAATTAAAATCACAAAGACTGTCTATGGGTGCATGGTCTGCTGATCAGCTAGATCACCAGCTAACTCAGAGAATGCTGTGGTTTCTGCCTGAGAATTTGCATTTCTTTTGCACAAGAACCAGCATGCAAAAAAGGTGGTTGCATTTCCACATCTCACCCCAACACTGTCAGCATGTGTCATGCTTGTAGCTGGATCTGTATCTGTAGCAGTTGGTCTGGCTTGGCCCACTTGGGTTTTTTGCTACAGAAAGAGCTGTGGAGCCATAGTATTCCGCATCTTTCAGTCACCATCAAAGGACTGATTGATATATTTGTTGTCGTCGTTGGTTAAGTATTTTAGAAAGCCACAGAAATAAAACAGATTTTTTGGTATGTTATGTTTTTTCCTCATTTTCTTTCTGTATAACTCTAAACTGCAGTCCTTTTTAGCATAGATTTCTGATTATTTTGAGAGGCATACCAAGCTTCTTGTGCTTGAAGAAAAGACCATGCACTAGAAGAAGAAACCAGATAAGTGGATGTAGTATACCAGAAGTTTCAAATGCTCCATTTCATTGTGAAGCGCAAAGTAAATAATGTCTGTCAAGAGTGAGCCATCCAGCAGTGACAACATTGTACCAGTGAATGTCAATACTCTGCATGACATTTCTCTTTCTGAGGAATTATTTCTGAGAATTCAATATTAACATTTTCCAACTACAGAAGGCAAGAGAACATTAGATATTATATGACTAGATTTCACTGCTTGCTTATATCTGATATGGAAGCCAGCTCTCTTCGATCTTATCCAGATGGTCCTCTCAATTTCTAAATTGCTGTGTCTGTGACACATTATGATGCTTCTGTTTAGACATGTATTTTATACCCTTCATATTAGAAAAAGTAATAAAATGAAATGTAGAAGAAGGTTTAAAGATAAATAAATTATTCTTCAGTCAAACAG